CTCTCAACTCTCTCCCTCCCTCCCTCGCCGTCGGCGGGATCCTCTCCCCTCCTCGTGGTGTTTGCTGGTGCTGGTGCAGGATAGCATCTACGAGTGGAGGCGCGCGACTAGGTAGGGCGGCGCGACACGGCTGCGTCCGAGGCGGATAAGTGGCGGTTCCTAGGGTGGAGGTGCGGGTGGCTACGTAGCGAGGGTTTAGGTGGAGCGTGCCTGCGCAGGGTGGCGGTGGTGGGCCTCTCATTCCACATCTGGATCGAGGGCTCGTCCGGCCGGCTGCACGCCGGCGGCGCGGGCCGTGACGGCGTGGCATGGTCTACGGGCGTTGCTCCTCTGGAGTTGGTGCGGGGATCGGCGTGGTCACCCCGGTGGATCTGAGTTCCGTCGGGAGAGCCATGGGTGTCGAGCGCGGGCCAGCCTGGGCCTGACTGGCTTCGGTGGTGCGGCCTGTGGCATGCCAGTGGGCTAGGGCTCGGGGCCGGCGGCCGGTGGTCGTGCTGTGGGTTCTACCTGCGAGCATGGAGGCGGAGCTATGGTCGGCCGGTAGTGGCTTGGGCATGGTCGGCGGTGACGAAACCATGTGCGCAGAGTCAAGATGTGGCGGGATTGCCAGAATGGCTGCTAGGTAGTCGGGGTTGCTGGCCGCCGTGTGCAGTGCTACCTCTTGAGCACTGCGTTGGATTTCCCCGAAGAGGAGAGGATGATGCAGCAAAGTAGCGTAAGTATTTCCCTCAGTTTTTGAGAACCAAGGTATCAATCCAGGAGGCTACGCTCGAGTCCCTGTACCTACACAAAAAAAAATAGCTCAACGCAACCAACGCTCTTAGGGGTTGTCAATCCCTTCACGGTCACTTACGAAAGTGAGATCTGATAGAGACGATAAATAATATTTTTTGGTATTTTTGGTATAGAGATGCAAAGTAAAAAGTAAAAGCAAAGTAAAAGCAAAGCAATAATAAAGTGATGGAGATTGATATGATGAGAAAGAGACCCGGGGGCCATAGGTTTCACTAGTGGCTTCTCTCAAGAGCATAAGTATTCTACGATGGGTGAACAAATTACTGTTGAGCAATTGACAGAATTGAGCATAGTTATGAGAATATCTAGGTATGATCATGTATATAGGAATCACGTCCGAGACAAGTAGACCGACTCCTGCCTGCATCTACTACTATTACTCCACTCGTCGACCGCTATCCAACATGCATCTAGAGTATTAAGTTAAAAACAGAGTAACGCCTTAAGCAAGATGACATGATGTAGAGGGATAGTTTCATGCAATATGATAAAAAACCATCTTGTTATCCTCGATAGCAACGATACAATACGTGACTTGCTGCCCCTTCTGTCACTGGGAAAGGACACCGCAAGATGGAACCCAAAGCTAAGCACTTCTCCCATGGCAAGAACAACCAATCTAGTAGGCCAAACCAAACTGATAATAAGAGACTTGCAAAGATAACCAATCATACATAAAAGAATTTAGAGAATATTCAAATATTATTCATAGATAGACTGAATCATAAACCCACACACTAGTAGAAAACAGGGCTTTGGTCCAGGCCGAGT